ATGAAAAATTAGAGTTTACAATTACATTAGTCAAAATTTCAAATAAAAATAAATATTATTATATAATACCTATATAATAATCATTATGATAATGAAATACGCCTTCATGAATATTTAAAAAATTAAGATTAAGTTAAGTTTTTTAAATTATACAATATTTGTTTGACAATATGTAAAATTACAATAAAATAAAATAAATGTTTGAAAATTTTTACTATTTTTATAGTCATCATTATAAATTTAATATAATTTATAGCTGGTTTTTTGGAAATAAATATAAATAAATATTGTTACTTCTTTGATATAATATTATTTTAAAACTAAATTTAAAAATTATCAAATTCAATTGTTATAATTGTAAATTAAAAAAAAATTATTTTGGCCGAAAATGTACAATAGTCAAAAAGGGAACTGTAAGTTTTTACTGAAAAAGACTGCCCACTTATTCTACGCACTATGATTAGTCAAAATATTCATCGACATGGAATTATCCATGAGAAGGCCCGTACCCACTTTACGAGTATTATTTCTAAATTTTTCGGTAATATCAGCTATAACTGGTTAATTCAACAAGTACACTCTCCTCTTTTTTTATACTTTATTTGGATATGGATTTTTTGAATATTTTAGAAAAATTAAAAACTATATATTTTTATGCCATTTAATTAGTTATCTGTGAAAATATTTAAAGTCTAAAAGGAATATATTGGTTTACATAAATATTAAATATATTATAAATTAATATTATCTAGTTTCATAAGTACCTATATTATTATTATTATTATACTCGGGCAATTTTTACAGATAAATAATAAATAATAGTTCCTATATACAACGCTTATTAATATTAATTCCTTACCTACTATAAATATAATAGATTCAAATTATTAGGTATAGTGCCCATATTTTATCAACCTATATTATTTCAGATTGTGCTATTCGTAGTATATAAAGGTTAATTACTAGTTCAAAATATATCAATATTAAAAATAAAAAAAATCAACCATTTGTCTGTTTACAGTAAAAATTGATGACTTGTAAAAAAATAAAAATTTGTCCATCGAAAATTCCTTAAATGACCTAAAAATTCAAGTATTTGAAAATATGACCTTTAAGTGTACTTATAACTTCCAAGAATAAGACTTAAAATAAATTTGCACAGTCAAAGGATGAAATGAGAGTGAGCGTGTTGAGTAAATAATCCAAAATATTATAATATTGCTATGGAGACCGCAATGTTAATAAAAATAATTCAATTTAACGATGTTGTATTATGTGTGCGTTGCGTTTTGTTATATAAATGTGTCGTTTCTGAATAAACTAACATCACACTGCACTAATATTAATATGCATATATTTCGACTGATGCAATCATGTAGTTTTTATTGTTCAAATATATAAATAGAATATTATATTATAATATTTCATTGATTTTTTTAGCATTTTCTTCTATTATAGTTATATTATATTATATAATAGTGGGTGTTTTAAAAGCACATAACTATGAGCACAACAATACCACGAACACACAATTTCGGATTCATAAAACACGTAAAAGCATTATTAAATCGTTGATGTAGTATTATAGTCAAATGTTTATGTCTTATATTAATTACTTAAATACATGGATATATATAATAATGTTACCGTAAATGTTAGTAATGATTGGACGATATCAGTAATCCTGGTGGACACCAGAAATTGTGGGTAATCGGTATCTTTATTATATTTCTAACCGACAGACGAAATCGATATCATTAAACTGTAGGTATATCTTTAGTTGATAATCAATTCATCCATCATAAGGATGCCTTTTTTAAAATCATATTATCTTTTGATTTTATTTTCACTTTTTTAGGGGCGGAGACATATATGCGAATTATAAAAATAGTTTTTACAAACGATCGGATAACGGTTATTTTTGGGCTAATAATGTTGTATCGTACACATTTTTATTAAATATTTGCAAGTTATTTTTATTTATTTATTATTTCAACATAGAGGGGGCACGTACTTATCTAATGTACGTAATAATTTGCATTATGAAAATAAATAAAATATATACTTTTATAATAATTGTCATAAATTCATAACTAAAGAATAGGCACATGCATTTTTCAAATTAAGCATTCTTCGGTAATTTATGTAATATTTTAATAAATTAATTAAATATTTACTATTTTAACTATCAATTTTAGTAATTTTAGTATGTATTGTCTAGGAAATTTTTGCATTGCCTAATCCAATTAGCCGTTGTCAATTATAACTAGTTATCACAGAGAATTGTTGATCGCCAACGATAACACATATTATGTTATATGTACGAGTATGTATAGTCGTCATATGTGGTAATTAGGGTTAGGATGTTTATGACTTTTGCATATTTTTTCTTTTAGTTATACACATTGCAAACCCAGTAATAAATTCGTTTTGTATGACATAGAATCAGATATATTCAATTTTATTTTGTATATTTTTGCATATTTAGGAATTTTTATGAATAAATGCATATTCTGCCAAAAAAATTGTAAATAAATGCATATTTTGTCCAAAAAATAACTTAAATATAATATAAACATCAATATGTACCTATAGGTAGGCATTATTGGTTTCATAACTAATGAAAACGAGAAAAACGTGTAGTTTATAATGTTTATATTATTAACTTATCTTTATTACTTATTTATCTTTACTATAACTTTACATTTATTAATCAATATAATTATGTTTATGAACAATGATCGCGATAGTGTGGTGATGCCTATCTTTTTAATTTCAAAAACTCATATTTGTATGTATTTGTATTTAAGTCTTAAGTTATAAAAATAGTATTGTAAATTGATTAGGAGTAGATTTTAGATTAGTATCTAATAAACTAATTTTAAAAAGACATTTTATTTTTATTAAGGGCATATTTTGATATTTATTGTGCATATTTGTATCTATTTTTAGTGTTTTTAAGATCATAATCATAAATATCCTAACCCTGATGATAATCCATCCTAACCCTGATGATAATCCATTTATAAATTTTTCTATCGATTTCATCACCTCCTATGAATAGAGAAAAAGTTACGAGAATGTATATTACATATTACATATTACATATTATTTTTTGCACTTATATGCATTCTGGTTTAATTCTAAAATAATTTGTGAATTTTATGTATAGCCAGATCAGTGGAAGAAGTATTTACATGCTTTCCAAAAACAATTTAAATGATAGGTTGTTGTTGATTTAATTTAGATGATACAAAAATTTGATTCAAAATGTCAACTATTATTATTATTATTGTTGGTTATATATCATTAAATTAATTATTGTATATATATGCACGGGATTGTTGTAATTGATCGTCAAAATATAAATATTAGTATTATCAGTTATCACCATACACTAATATCATTGAAAATTAAGTAAAATAGAAAATCTAAGAAAGAATCTAAGTTTAATATTTAGAAAATTCTTAACTATATGTATGTTTGAAATACATACAATTGATTATAATTCATAATTGAATACACCTTATTAAGATTGAAATATATTTTCATTAAAATTGAACTACATATGAGTTATAATTAACTATACATTAAATAACATTTTATGTTAGGGATTCAATTGTTGGTAGTTTAAAATTCTTTTCCTAAATTAATTTCAATCACATTTTCATCATCTTCTTTTAAAACCCATTATTACTGTTCCTTCATCGGACCTATACTTAAATAATGAATGTGTACTTTGGATCTTTGGACCCATATACCGCTTTTGATTGGATTATAATTGAGAATGTCCAGAAAATACTTTTTCGATCTGTTTCATTTATATTATAATACTATATTTCATACCTATTCACCAATTAGTAAAGAACTTAATTTATCAAGTCTAACCGATTGTCTTTTGCATCCTATTCAACCAATTTTCTATTTTCGACGGGGAATTATTATGGTTTCAAAGTTACTGCTACATGGGCTTATGGCAATACACATGTAACATGAAAAAAATAACAGAAATAAGCTGAAAAACAAACATTGTGTAATGAAATTAGCGGGAGTTCTGTATTAATCAGGACTTAGCTCAAACATAAGGTTGAGTATGCATAGTGAAAATAATGTCTAACCTTCTAAATGCTATCACAAAGATATTTTTGGAGTTGATGAGATTATAATTTATAGTAAAAATGGGTTGTCGTCATTAAAAGAAAGTTTAAAATAAATATTTTTGTAACTTAATGAATCAATTGCTTCAGCAAGAGTAATATTTAGTAAAAATCACGTTTAAAATAACTAATATTATTTGCTGAATTATCAAAAATTTATCTAGTTATATCGAAGTCGCACTTCGAAGACCACGTCGGTGGTTGGTCACCATTGGTGTACTCGATGAATTGTGAAATATGTGTTTCCAAGCCTGCAGTATTGAGGAAGACGAATTTAATGTTACATACATAGTAATATATAGGTATTAATGTATGAATACAATAATCGCACAGCTTTATATGTAGTATATATTTATACAATGTTGGGAGACAATATAATAAGGCGAGATAAGAAATCACAAATCTTTGCTCGAACTTGACGTCTACAGCTTGTCGTCTTCAAATTTTTTTACTTTTCAAACGTTTCACGTATTTAATGTTAATAAAGATACGTACTATACTCAAATTCTATCGCGTGTACCCTGCAAAGTGCGCCGTTATATAACATAATGTGACGATAATAATATTGTCGTGTGACGTGCCAAAAACACTCTGGCGACATAATAAATAAATTAATAAATACTAGTTTTGAAAAACAAACCGAACGCGTTTGTAAGTAGCCGATAATTGGCGAACGACCGGCGCCGGCGCCGACTCTTCTGGGCCGCCGCCGACTACGGCGACGCTACGCGGCATCACCGACGCCGCCACCACCTCCACCACCACCACCACAACAACCACCACCACCACCACCACCATCGCTACCACCGCCGAGCGATGGGCCAGCAGCTTGCCGGCGTTCGTCCCGAGTTTTCGTTGTGCGTCCGTCCCGTGTCGTCGCGAGAACCGCGTCCGTGATTTTTTCAGGTCGGTTTTATCTCCGGAAAAAATATACCGAAAATCCGGGCGTATCATTTTAAATATATTGTGTACACGAGACGTTGTTGTTGCCGAGTGTATCGAAACACGAAAATCCTGAACGAGTGGTTAAAACAATAAAAAAAATAAAAAAATAAAAAGTAAAAAATATATACGAAAATTGTTTACTCTACGAAATTACACGCGCCTTGTGTCGTCACGCATATGTTATCTATATTGTGATATATATTTGATTTTTTTCGATCGATTATTGTTAGTATTCTATCGTCGTTGTTGTATTTTGGGTTCGCAACCTAGTATAACAGCAAAAAGTGCCCGTGACAGTGCGTGTGCGATCTTCGTCATCGCCACCGGTGCGGTTCGTTTTGGACGCAGTGTATATTTAAAACGTATAATATTGTAGAACGTAATAATATCAAAATAATATAATACTGTAGTGTCGGTGTCGCGGTCGTGCGAGGGTGCGCGTGTGCGGGCGCGAAATGTCGGCCGACAAAATCCGTATTTGCCAACGACGCTGACAACACGAGACCGACCGGTGGAAAACCGAAATTTCGATCCGACTGCTGCAGCAGTGTTACGTCGCAACGTTCGCGTCGCGAATAAGTGATAAAATTCGAAAACCTCTGGCTTTGGCGTCGCTGTTCTTGGTTTGCCGCGTGTTTTATTTTGTTTTGTTGACGATTGTGTGAGTTTATAAGTCTGCGAGAATTTCAGCGACCATCAATTCCGTTGTAGTCGTTGATGAAGAATATCTTGAAATTCTCCGCTGCCTGACGGTAACCGAAAATATTGAATAACACGTATAGCTTAAAATAATAACTGTAGGACGAATAAATGTATAATACAATATTTACACTATTTGATTAACATTATACAATTAATAATACAACGATAGATAATACGTGTTAATAGCGTACTTTCATTTATTATTAGGTTGACGCTTGGCAGGCCTTTTTGTATTTTCATAGTGGATTCATTCAAATTTCGGTTGGGTTGACCATTTGATTTTTTGGTTCGGTATGTGATCTAATAGCAGTGAACCATACTTTTAATTAAAGATTTGGGGGAGCACATGCGTGATAAAAGACACAAACATTTTGACGAGTACAAAAATCGAAGACGCTAATTATATATTTATTATTTTCCGTGTAAAATGATGTAGGTTAATAATTTTAAATTCAAAATTAAAATATATTGTTTAAAAATTATTTGCTAATTTTTACTATATAGTCTGTAAACAATACGCACTAAAACTCGGTTTTATGATTAGCGAATTAAGGGTTTTTAAGTGTCACACACCATTTTGTTCGATAATGGACGGAATTTCATCGTTAACTCCTTTTTTTGACCGACATGCACACTTATTAGACATACAACATATTGTGAATCTTTAAAACTTCAACTATCTGAATAAATATAATAAAGCATTGGCAGACTACGTATATATTATCTGTTTATAGTATTTTAATATCGTTTTTGTACTAAAACGTGGATAATAATTATTGCTCATTTAATCTTTAATACTTCTGTGGTAAATACAACCAAAATTGAACTGATGTAGCGTTTATGTTGTTTTGGTCTAGATTAGTAGCTAACATATAAAATTACATTAGCAACTTATTAACGCATACATACAAGATACAAATCGTTTGTCAACTTAATAATTAATTATGGTATTATAGTTTGCAGTTCTATCTATACAGAACAAGAATTAAACCCCAGTTAGGTATGCAATATTTTAAGTTATATAGATATAATCTAAGTTTAATACTTTATAAGTTGCAAACCTCTTCAAACAGTACTTATAATAATCGTAGGTTTTCTCAAGAAATACATGAGAAATGTTTGTGTTTAAATGTGACATTTCATAAAGTACAACGTAATATACAGAATACATTTTTTATAAGACAAAAAACTAAACACATAAATTATAACTATGATTATCGTGATCGTACTGAATTTAAGTTATCAAAGTACATAATTACATGAGCAAAAGTGACATACATAGGAATATTTGTAGAACAAATATCTATTGTTTTTTTAAAAATATGTTCACAAACATACCTATAATGTTATTATAGTTAAACACACTTTATTTTCATTAATATTTTATACATTCATTACATAAAAGAATACTTATAATTATTATATATTTATTTAAACTATAATATACTATTATAAGTAGTATTATGATCCTATATTACAATATAATTATAATTTTTCAATGCACTTTACAATTTTTGATTTGTTTTCTATAATTATAGTTGTCTACTACTAAAGAACAAATTATTTAGAAAACCTAGCAAATAAAATATAAGATTATCGAATCGTAATTCTATACTATTTTGTATAATCATATAAAAATAAAATTAAACTGCAGTTATATTATTTACGATATAATATATTCGTATATACTATAAACCTAAAATCTTTCATATGAATACAATCTGGCCAATATCCTGTAATAAACGAAATGTTTATAATACATTTACGAGTACATTGTATAGGGATGAATTTTAGTTTCCATTTAAATTAGTAAATTGTTATTATGTCATAATATATTTTCTACTCTCAATTTAAAAGCAGTGGAAAGTTTACGAATCTGAAAGTACATTACTTCTTTTTGAACTAACTTCATAAATAATAAAAGTCATCGAGAACTCTACTTTTATGTTTATGTTTTTTTCCTTCAAAGTTTAAAAACCATTTTTTTTTTTAAAAAAATTAACAATATTAAATAATTTAAAAAATTTCTATTTACGTTTTAACCATATTATTATGTTATTTTGATCAAAATATATTACCTATATTTGTTTAAAATTGAATGTTTTGCACTTTTTGAAATTTTATATACTTTTTATAGTACCTATACCTACATACATACATTCAGAAAAAAAATATTCAGATTTTTAAATGATTAATATTTATGTTAATATTTAAATAAAAATGTGCTTATAAGACACTGTTTAACATTAATTAGAGATGTTATCAAGCGATGATCAACGTGTATATTTTACATTTTTAAGTGATTATTGAATTCTTAAACCAAAATGGCGTAATTCGGAGAAGATTAAATGAGTAAAGACACCCCTTCCCCCAAAAATAAATAAATAAATAAAAATCCTCTGAAAATAAATGATGTATACATTTGTTTAAGTTGAATTTTATTAATAGTTTTATTTTAGATATTTATGAGATACATATTTGAATTTAATATTTTTAGAACTTTTATTTTTAAATAACCATTAAAATTAAAAAAAAAATAAAATAATTTGTTGTAAAGCGAAATGAATGAGTCTACTGACTATGTTTTAAATTTAATTAAATATGTACATAGTACAATATTCGCTACTTTAATGATTTTTAATTTTATAAGTTACTATAATATTATATAGCTGATTTTGATCAAACCTTTATTTATTAATGATATATTATTATATTCAAATAATCAATTATTTATATAATGTTTTACTAAATTTCAAATACAGCTTAAAATTTAAATAGGTATGTTATCATTTATAATACTACTTAAACTATATTATTAATATAATACATAAATAAACTTGAGCAAAACAATTTGTCCACGTGTATTTTAAATATATAATTATACTACCTACCTACGTATTAAATATTTTTGTATCATAAACAGGCCTTTGTGTGTGAGTAATTCATATATTTTTTAAATAGTTTTCTTTCAATCATGATAATATTTATAATAAAATCATACTTTGAAGTTTTGCAAAAAAAAAAAAAAAAATGTATCAATAAATTGAATTTTTATTTTGTTGTTTAAAAGTTCTATAATCGACATCAGGATATTCACTAAATTTCGGTGATTTATCAATAATTTTTTTTTATACTTAAATAAGTATTCATTTATTTCATTTAATGTATATTATATTATCAACTTAATCGTTACCTATGTAGAGTTATAAAATACAAATGGAGCAAATAATATTTACTTACATTAACAGAAATAATTATTAAAGTGTTTATTTTTTTCAAAATGGTTTTGATTTTTAGTATGTTCGTGTTGCTAAGAGCTTAATTATTTGTATACAAAGGACAATCTGACCAATGTAAATAATAAATATTGTTTTAATATTTAAACCCTTATTTTTTTACTGATATAATATTATTTATATCAATTTTGTAATTATAATAAAATTATAAAAACTTGTAACAACATGTAACATTTTTACTCATTTTATAGAAGGTTAGGTTATATACTTATATCATTTTTTATTCGCTCTTTATCTGTAAAATAAGAAAAACGTCAGGAATAAGATGAAAATATAAAATCATAATATTATTTTTGCAGTACAGTACACCCCTGTATTTTCTGTACTCATATCTATTATTACTTTATACATCGTTTAATATATAAAAAAACCACTTTTCTAGAAAATAGGGGTAACATTAAATGGATAAATCAATACAGAGACAGTTAAACTGTAAACTATTTTTATGTATTTTGGAAAACATTTCTTTTGAACTCAAACTATTTAGACCAATTCACTTTTAATCATAATTATTTTATATGGTCTAATTATCATAATATTATATGTGACTGTCAAATCATACTCTAATCTCATTGAATGATCAGCCTTATTATACCAGAAATGTTAAGTAACTCTTTTTCAATATATTTTAGCATCGTGATCATAATTATAACACCAATTTCAATAAATTAGTCATTAGGGAGATCTAAGATCAACAATATAATTTTTCAGCTTAAATGCGTGTAACACATTTGAAGGTTAATTTTAAAATCAAATTGATAACTGTTTTAAAAAAGAAATTCTACGAATATTCTAAATCATTATTATTATTATTGGGTTATTCTCGTTTATGAAATATAACGAATACTTAGGTATTGTTAATGTGTTATATTTGCTAGTTAAAAATCATTTGCAAATTCATTTTTAGTGTATATGAGAAAAATAAATTAATATTCGAAACCTATGACCTATATAAATATTTTGTACTGTGTATTTTAGTTTTTACGTAATTATTTTTGAAATAATATTAAAATAACATTTTTTTTTTTTTTTTAATCTGAAAATGAGTAACTTCAGCAGCTAAAATGATTTTTTTTTAAAACTTATATCAGGATTAATTTATTTGCTTAATATGCTAATCAAACGTGTATAATTTGTTGGGTTGTTTGTTCATAAAACCTTAAACAATACAAAATTACTCAATTTTAACTATCATTATTCAGAAAAGGGCCATGACGACGACAATGGTTATTCGTACTTCCATACTACCTGCAGCCTGATTTAATAATAATATTGTACCGTAAAACTAAAGGAAATAAATAATGTTTAAAAATATGAAGTCAAGGAATTCAAGATATTATCTCTAGTCGCGTACTATCTGAGCTTTCATTCATATCTATAATATGCAACTACTGAATCACACTTCAAAATAAAATCATTACCCAGAAATACTATACAATCTATTTTTAATTCTTCAATAATAAAATAACTATCTTTTATTATCATAATATTTACCTATACACAACATATATACTGCGAGCATAATTATATTACATTATATTTTGCGTTAGAAACAAATATAAAATCAAAAATAATATATTACATAGTTTGAATATGTATAATATATATTTGTAATTCAAAAGATATAAGATATTAAGATTTTATTATTGGATTATAAAAACGAAGATCTGAATACAATTATATTTTATATATATTGTTAAAATGCATGTGTGTGTTGTGTGTATATCATGTTACATTTTAATGATTACCTTAAT